CCATCCCATTCTGTTGAGGTCCGTGGTGGTGGTGTAGTGTGCTGTGGAATCTGGATCACCCGGGGATGTCCCACTCCCTTTCCGGTCTCCTGGGGGGGGGGTGTGACTTTGGGTGTCTTTCGGGTGACGGGTGTATCTCTGGAAGCTGCCTTTTGAATTCCGGGGGGTGGTGGCCAAAGGAGGTATGCTTTGTGGAGGGTATCCGGCCACCCTCTCTTCTGTCCACCAAGGTGGCTCAGTATATGAGAGGTTGTTATTCCAGACTGCTGGTTTACTGGCATGAAGGATAGGGTATGGCACAGGTTTCATGCTGCATCTGCACTACTTGTGGTGCTGGGGTCCTCTTGGGCACAGAGGGGGATTGATGGCCCTTTCATTCCTCCTAAGAGCTATCCCTCAATGTTCCCCCCTTTTTTCATTCTAAAAAGCAAAAAGAAAGAAGCGACAACCATCGAGTCCCAAGTCCACAAAACAGCCCCCCCCCCCCCTTCCCCCCAAGCCCCTTTCTGCTACTGCACCTTGTTCTGACCCTACCTCATTATCTGACCACTGTTCAGACATTTCTCATGCCCATGTACCTCCTGCTGGTCCCGTTTTGTCACCCACTCCAGGTACCGAGGTTCCGCTCAACTCCTTTGCTACAACTGACCTCAGCACTTCTTTAACCATGCTTCCGGCTTCTACCACTACAGTGCGGTAATTTTCGAATTGTTAATGATCAAGCAATGCATGGAATTTATTTTATAAAATATTTATAACTACTTGTAGGTGTGTTTCTGTTGCTGTGAGAGACAAGAAAGGTGTCCTCATATCCCGTAAGCTTAGATCCTCTACCTCACTGCACACAAAACAAAATGGTGCATAATGAGGCATAAATTTCTAATGCAGTAACATATCAGTATTAAAGATTTGAAGCCAATCAGAAGAGGCAGTCATAACATAATGCTTGAAAACTAATATCCCCATTTCTTCAAAAACAGTAAACTGGCTCCGGCACAGGCGAAAGCCAATTCAAACCTTCCACTAAGGATACACCAGCTTCTAAAGTTCTGACTGCAGAAGAAGCATTCTCTAGTTATCTCACAGAAACCATTATCCCAAAATACACCACTAAGTTTAAAGCTGTTTGGAAGTTACTTTTTCAAGTTATCAGGGTTGAAGACTTCATCAGGGTTGAAGACTTCATCAGGACTGAAGGCTTGATCAAATTATCAGGGTTGAAAGCTTGAAGCAGACTGAATAAGACATTAACAAATTTTCTCCATTTCTTGAGCATAATTAGCAGACTGGCACCTACACAGCCCAAAATAAATCCAAACCTTTATCTAAGTATGTTACATTAGCATTTAACCCTTAACCCTTTCAGGGTCCGTCCCGTAGATCTACGGCTTTACGTTCAGGGTCCAAACCGTAGATCTACGTCATGAGCTCAGCTCACTCTGATACTGTGAGTGGTACATTTGGGCCTAGATATGAGAGAATACATCTATGTGGTATGTGTGCACCACATAAAACAGATCCTGCAGCACACTGTGTATAATGAGAGAAAAAAAACTGAAATCATGATTTTTCGATTAAAACAGCGACTTTGCAGTGTTTTTTCGTATGTTTTTTATAGTTGTATTTGCGATTTCTTGGTCTCAATTGATAGAATGGAAGACATATTACAGAAATAGAGATGATTTTGATTGGTTTTAGCACTGGAAATGGCTTGAAACTGAGCTCAAAGTAGCAGAAATGTTAATTTTTGCCGATATTAAAGGGAGTAAACAAACGACCTCACACATCTAATACACGCCAGCTGGTGGGTCTAATATGCATTCACAAATATGGTGATGATATTTATACAATTATTACAGTATTGCATAACAGTAAATCTTCTATTTTTTGGTGTGAATAAAAATTCATTATGTGAATAAAAAATCAAAATGGAATTTATTTGTAAAGCCTCAAAACGTAACTAATGAACAGAGGAAATGTTAGTTTAGTTCCAGGAATACCTACATTGTTTATTCTGGACCCTATTTTGAAATTGGAATATTTTGAACTTTGTGTTAAATTGGCCAAATTAACAATTTCCGATCACTTTAATTTGTAGTTGAAACAGTTGACTTGCTGATTTCTTGTGCTCTATCGATAGAATAGAAGTAATACTAGTGAAATAGCTAAGAATTTGCTTGACTGGAATAATGTAATTGGCCTAAAACGGGAGTCAAAGTCGGCAAAATCGCCGATTCGTAAATATCGCTGACACATCAAAATTCGCGAGAGCATAATTTCGTCAATTTTCCATCAAATTTCGTACTTTTTGTTTTATTACCTTCACAAAAAGATACTCTACCATTTCGTAAGAAAAAATAACAATTTTTTTTTTTTTTTTAATTCTTGGACACTGGGGCACCACTTCAGATTTGGGCCTTGGACCCTGAAGGGGTTAAACTGTCCAAACGTAGATCTACGTTTTCACTGCCAGAGTTCCAAATATTTTGAAAAAAAAAAATTTTCCTAAAGAGAGCAATTTTTTGAGTGTAATAAGACAAAAAAAAAAAAAGTTTTTAGGACCAGTACTTACTGCAAAATTAGCGCTGGATGCTCACTTGACGGCAACATAGAGCCCTGCCGCTTGTAGAAGTGTTGCCGATATACCTTTTTTCTTGTTTTTATTTTAATTTACATAATTTTTATGTTCTGATAATTACAATTTATAATAGTTCTTGTGATTTCATAGCCAATCTTTGTTTTGACACTAATATTAGGTACTGAAATAGTGCTCAGTCACAAACACATACTCTAACAGGTGAACATTTTCTCCTGCCTTTGTATATATTTCTAGACAATAGTAAATGACAAAGTATTTATAGGTCTCAGCAATGTTTTAGACATGCTGGATTATATATGAAACTCCTTGAAGCATGGTGTAAAGACGAGTGTCACTAAACTGCTGACGGTGCAGCAGTGGAGTGACACTTGATGAACGTGCATTGTTCCAAGGAACCCTGGCTTTATTTGTTTTCACTGTTACACATGAACATATGTCTTTCTGTCTGCCTGTGTGTGTCAGCAACATTTCTGCAAATAGCAGGACTCCATTTTGCAATCACATGAGCATCTAGTACCAACCTCGCTGCCTTTTATCTCGATAAATACTGGCCCTGAATTTTTTTTTTTTGGGGGTCCTATCACAAAAAATTGCCCTCTGTTATAAAAAAAAAAAAAAACTCAAAATCTTTGGAGTGCTAGCAGTAAAATGTAGATCAACAGTTTGACAATTAAAGGGTTAAATAAACAGTAATTCATGCTGGCCTCCTCCCTCAGTATGTTTACAAAACATAGGCCTACTACAGTGCTCTATTCTATACGCGGAGTCGGGTTATACTTTGGTATATATAGTAATATCCATAGTCGTGCTCAATGTGTTCCACATTATAATCACCATCTATAATCCAATTTTTAAACTTGGAGCATCTCCCACTAAGGTAGGGTGACCCACCTTTCACTGTCACTTATTCAATCACATCCAATCGAATGCATCTTTCACTGTGTTTGCCATTTTTTTTTTTTATTTTTTTACTCAGAAAATGTGTCTTGTCTTTAAGGATGTTTTTTAATAAGTAAATAAAGTAATTTTTACTATAAAAAATACACTGTGAGCCATAGCTATTAGCCTTTAAAGCCTTCATGATCGTAAAAATTTTGTGATGCAAAATACTGCTTCTAAGCTTAAATAACTATAAAATATCAAATGGAATAATGAATACATGATATTTTGTTACTAGTTAGTCGTTATTAAGAAACATGTTCAAATGATGCGACTCAACTGCTGATAAGATATCAAAACTATGTATACAAATTATTGTCACTTGAGTTCTCTATTCATACTTTAAACATATCAATACACTTCTGGCCTACTGCAAGTACTGATAAAATTTGAAATTTGGACACTGAATGTGATACTGGACTAATCTGTGCCCACTTTCTATCAATATGCACTTCTTAAAAAAATTATCTCGTTACATAAAAAATATACTACTACATGGAACATCACTTATGGTTCATCAAATATCTAGTCAATTATATGAAATAAAATTAATATTATTATGTATATTAAATTATCATTAAAAATCAAACTAAGTAATTAACATACCATACAAACAAGTACTGTATGTAAAAAAATACATTTTGTGCATCGAATCTTAAAAAAACTTAAGAAATTTGCAACCATGCAAAAAAAAAAAAAAAAAAAAAAAGGGCAGGGGGACATTTACAAAATAATATTTATGCTTGCATTTACAAAGTGTAATGTTATGGTGTAAAATATAACTGCAAAAATTATATTACAACAGAAAATATAAATTTCAGAAATATTTCTAGGTGTATATCAAAATTAATACCATAGTTTGTTTTTGCAATATATAACCCATAGTGGAACCTCAGTATTTAAACTTAAGAAGCCACAGTAGAGGCCATGTTCAACTTACTGATGTTCACATACATTATACAGGTTCTAACCTAAACTCAAAAGTGCTGCCTATTTAAATTCAAAATCTCAAAGAAGCCATTCACCATAATCAATGCCAAGTTGCTACTTAATAATCAAACCAAGCAGCACATGCAAAAATGACTCAAAAGGCAAACAAATAGTAATTACAAGCATGATAACTCTGGGTAGTTGGGTAAGTGGAAAATGTTACTGTTCCAAATAAATAACTGTAAAACATTAGTTGTACACGTAATAACATGGGTTAATAAATGTTATCCAAAATTTATAAATGGTACTTTTTGGTGACTAAACCCAAAGAAGTCATTATAGGTATATCACTGTAAGAGACTTAGAATTAAGGAGCTGCATGTTGCCTTCTAAACTTCTAATTCTGAAGGACGTTGCTGAGGATCTTAATGAAAAAATCATTTCCATCTATATCGAAGTGCATCTCAGCCCAAATATTTCTAAGCCTATCACAAAATCAACTACATTTAGAAAATATTGTCTGTTGTCATACCTCAGATTCTGTTTTTGGAGAAGGCTTATCCAATATCTGAATTTCCTTTTCTTGCATGCACAAACTTGCCAATTTATTGGGCGAGTCTCCAGTCTTGATATTCATTTTATTTATTGTATTTTTTGTGGAAATTTTCTCACATTCTATTCCACTGCTGCTGGTGGAACACTGTTCCTTGTTGTCACCCTAATATTTAAGGACATTATTAATAAGAGCTTCCATCCAAAAATCATTTATGAAGTATTGTTTCCCATGCTGAGTGTTAAAAATAAATTACAGTGGACCCCCGGTTTACGATATTATTTCATTCCAGAAGTATGTTCAGGTGCCAGTACTGACCGAATTTGTTCCCATAAGGAATATTGTGAATTAGATTAGTCCATTTCAGACCCCCAAACATACACACACAAATGCACATACATAAATACACTTACATAATTGGTCGCATTGGGAGTTGATCGTAAACCGGGGATCCACTGTATATTCAAATTCTGGTACTGTGTACAGTATATTTAACATTCTTAAATACAAGAAATACATATGCTTATAAGGGGCTAGTAACCCCTTCTCCTGTATATATTACTAAATGTACAAGGAGAAACTTTCATTTCTCCTTTTGGGCCACCATGCCTCGGTGGGATATGGCCAGTGTGTTGAAAGAACATATGCTTATATATGTTTATAGAGGGGCAACTGATGTATCGGATCATTATTTAGTTGTAGCTACAGTTAGAGTAAGAGGCAGATGAGACAAAAGGAAGACTGCAACAACAAGTAAGAGAGAGGTGAAAGTGTATAAACTAAGGGAGGAAGAAGTTCGGGTGAAATATAAGCAACTATTGGCAGAAAGCTGGGCTAGTGCAAGTATGAGTAGTTGGGGGGGGGGGGGGTTGAAGAGGGTTGGGATAGTTTTAAAAATGCAGTATTATAATGTGGAGCAAAAGTTCATGGCTATACGAGGGTGGGTGCAGGAGGAGAGATTGGTGCAGTGATGTAAAGGGTGCGATAAGAGAGAAAAAGGTAGCTTATGAGAGGTTTTTACAAAGCAGAAGTGTTGTAAGAGCAGAGTATACTGAGAGTAAAAGAAAGGTGATGAGAGTGGTGAGAGAGTGTAAAAGGAGAGAAGATGATAGAGTGGGAGAGGCACTGTCAAGAAATTTGGATGAAAATAAGAAAAAAAATTTGGAGTGAGATAAACAAGTTAAGAAAGCCTAGGGAACAAATGCATTTGTCACTTAAAAACAGAGTAGGGGAGTTAGTAGATGGGGAGATGGAGGTACTGGGTAGATGGTGGGAATATTTTGAGGAACTTTTAAATGTCGAAGAAGAAAGGGAGGCAGTAATTTCATGCACTGGCCAGGAAGGAATACCATCTTTTAGGAGTGAAGAAGGACAGGGTGTGAGTGTGGGGAAGGTGCGTGAGGCATTACGTAGAATGAAAGGGGGTAAAGCAGCTGGAACTGACAGGATCATGACAGAAATGTTAAAAGCAGGGGGATATAGTGTTGGAGTGGTTGGCATTTTTGTTTAATAAATGTATGAAAGAGGGGAAGGTACCTAGGGATTGGCAGAGAGCATGTATAATTCCTTTATATAAAGGGAAGGGGGACAAAAGAGATTGTAAAAATTATAGAGGAATAAGTTTACTGTAAAGTAAAAGGACACTTTTACTGGTCGGTAATTCTACCAACATTATTACAATGAGTTTACTGAGTATACCAGGAAAAGTGTATGGTAGGGTTATTGAATGAATTAGAGGCAAGACAGAATGTAGGATTGCGGATGAGCAAGGAAGTTTTAGAGTGGGTAGGGGATGTGTAGATCAGTGAACAGTATTTAGATAAAGGTAGGGAAGTTTTCATTGCATTTATGGATTTAGGAAAGGCACATGATAGAGTGGATAGGAGAGCAACGTGGCAGATGTTGCAAGTATATGGAATAAGTAGTAAGTTACTAAACACTGTAAAGAGTTTTTATGAGGATAGTGAGGCTCAGGTTAGGGTGTGTAGAAGAGAGGGAGACTACTTCCCGTTAAAGGTGGGTCTTAGACAGGGATGTGTAATGTCACCATGGTTGTTTAATATATTTATAGATGGGGTTATAAAAGAAGTAAATGCTAGGGTGTTGGGGAGAGGGGTGGGATTAAATTATGGGGAATCAAATACAGAATGGGAATTGACACAGTTACTTTTTGCTGATGATACTGTGCTTATGGGAGATTCTAAAGAAAAGTTGCAAAGGTTAGTGGACGAGTCTGAGTGTGTGTGTGTAAAGGTAGAAAGTTGAAAATGAACATTGATAAGAGTAAGGCAATAAGGGTATCAAATGATTTAGATAAAGAAAAATTAGATATCACATTGGAGAGAGGGAGTATGGAAGAAGTGAATGTTTTCTGATATTTGGGAGTTGACTTGTCAGTGGATGGGTTTATGGATGATGAGATTAACCGTAGAATTGATGAAAGAAAAAAGGTGAGTGGTGCATTGAGGTATCTGTGGAGACAAAGAACGTTATCAATGGAGGCAAAGGAGGGAATGTACGAAAGTGTAGTGGTACCAACACTCTTATATAAGTGTAAAGCTTGGGTTGTAAATGCTGCAGCGAGGAGGCAGTGGAGATGTCCTGTCTAAGGGCAATGTGTGGTGTAAATATTATGCAGAGAATTCATAGTGTGGAAATTAAGAGGTGTGGAGTTACTAAAAGTATTAGTCAGAGGGGTTGTTGGGGTGGTCTGATCATTGAGAGACAATGGAACAAAGTAGAATGACTTGGAGAGCTTGTAAATCTGTAAAGGAAGGACGGCGGGGGTAGGGGTCGTCCTCAAAAAAGTTGGAGGGAGGGGGGTAAATGTTTTGTGGGCTAGGGGCTTGGGCTTTCAGCAAGCAGGCGTGAGTGTGTTAGATAGGAGTGAATGGAGACGAATGGTATTTGGGACCTGACGAGCTGTTGGAGTGTGAACAGGGTAATATTTTGTGAAGGGATTCAGGGAAACCGGTTAGCCGGACTTGAGTAATGGAAATGGGAAGTACAATGCCTGCACTTTAAAGGAGGGGTTTGGGATATTGGCAGTTTGAAGGACTTCTAAACTGTTGTATCTGAGTGCCTCTGCAAAGACAGTGATTATGTATGAGTGATGGTGAAGGTGTTGAATGATGATGAAAGTATTTTTCTTTTTGGGTCACCCTCAGTGGTACATGGCCGACATGTTAAAAAAAAAAAGTTTTTTTTTTTTACATAGTCAACTGAAAATTATGATGCACACCCCATAAATGAATTATAATTCCAAGAAAGCTAGAAATCAGGCAGACTGCATATTCTGTGCAGAGTGCATATTCTTATTCAGACTGTTAGGATTTTGATACTGTGCCTCACATGAGACTGATCCACAAACTAAAGATATAAACTGGGATGACAGGAAAGTGTTTCATTGGTTTTAAGAGCATCTAAAATATGTTGATTGAACAGCCATGGTAAGAGATGAAGCATGAGAATAAATAAAAATAAGAAGTTAGGAGTGTTGGAGTGTGAGCAGGGTAATATTTAGTGAAGGGATTCAGGGAAACCGGTTATTTTATATAACCAGATTTGAGTCCTGGAAATGGGAAGTACAATGCCTGCACTCTAAAGGAAGGGTTTGGGATATTGCCAGTTTGGAGGGATATATTGTCTATTTTTATACGTATATACTTCTAAACTGTTGTATTCTGAGCACCTCTGCAAAAACAGTGATTATGTGTGAGTGAGGTGAAAGTGTTGAGTGATGAAAGTATTTTCTTTTTGGGTCACCCTGCCTTGGTGGGAGACGGCCGACTTGTTGGAAAAAAAACAAAAGAAGTTAGGAGAAACAGTATATTACTAGAAGTATGGCAATTCGAGATATCAGCCAAAGAAAAGAACATGAATGTGAATGTCACACCTAACCACTCTCCTGAGGTGAATGCACAAATTGGACAACATTCTTGGCTTGCACATAATTTGCAAGTGCAAGCACTGCTTTTAACCCCTTCAGGGTCCAAGGCCAAAATCTGAAGTGGTGCTCCAGTGTCCAAGAAATTTTGAAAAAAAAAAAAAAAAAAAAAAAAATCTTACAGAATTAAAGAGCATATTTTTGTGAAGGTAATATGACAAAAAAAAATTTCTGATCGGTACTTACCGAGATACAGTGCCAAGAAGTTTGTCCAAAATGATGTGGTGGCGGCAACATCGACGAATTCCACATACGCGCATTACTTTATTTAGCGGTTTTTATTGTTTTTTCTTTTCTTTTCCAATTTTTTTCTTTTCCTACTAACATTTGGGGCCTGAGAGACCAATACTGTATATAATGTATATATATTAACTCACTGTATTGAACACAATAACCGCACTAAAGTTATTATCATATTATTGTTTACCACTGTTGTTTATTACAATAAACATGCACAAATCTTGTATAATACTAATGTTCTATCATATATTTACATATTTACAATCACCGGACATGGTTTTAGAACTGCTGGAGCTTGTGGAACTCCTTGAAACAAGGCACCATGCACAGAGGCACCTTACATTCCTCACACATAAACCGAGTGTCTTTGTTGCCGTCGTTTTGTTTGTGCACAGACGATGCATCTCTTCCGAGTTGAAGGAAGTTGTATTATGAAATGATCACCTTCCCTCCTCAAACGCTTGGGTATATCCTGAGTAATTCGAGGACCTTGTTGTATAGCAGGTGTTCTTACCTGGTACTTCATTATGAGTTGTCTGACAACAGACAAACAAAATTCACCATATGGTGGTCTGTTGCCAGTCTTTATTTGGTACATATTATATGCATTGAGCATTGAAATGTCCATGAGATGGAAGAAAAGTTTCATGTACCACTTGTAACTCTTACGAACACAATCAACAAAACCAATCTGCATGTCACATTTGTCAACCAAGCGCATGTTTTGTGTATAATCAATCACTGTCACTGGTTTTCGAATAGGTTCATTAGTCACTCGATCAACTTTGCCACTGTCTTGCATTTCATTACGGTGAATGGTTGTCAACAATGTGACATCTCGTTTGTCATGCCACCGTAATGCCATGATGTCATTGGCAGTCAACACCTGCACGTCATCACCACGAGCACCTGCGTTGAGCCTGGGCATATGTTTACGATTAGAACGCACTGTGCCACAACATCTGTCTTGTCACTCGCATGAAATCACTGAGTAATGGGCTTGTGTACCAGTTATCGGTATATAATGTATGCCCCTTCGAAGATAAGGTGTCATCATGTTTCTCACTACGTCACCTGAGATACCCAATAACATCTTGGTATCTTTCAATGTTTTACTTCCCGTGTATACAACAATATCCAACACCAGGCCACTGTCACAGTCACAGAGTACAGTTTTATACCAAAGCGTTTCCTCTTGCTCGGTATATACTGCTTGAATGACAGTCTACCTTTGAACAAAATCAAAGACTCGTCAATTACAAGATTCTTGAATGGATAAAAGTACATGATGAACTTTTGTTTGAGATACATGAAAACATTTCTAATCTTGTATAACCTGTCATTTCTGTCAGGCCTGGTTTTGTCAGAGAAGTGCAACATAAGTAACAGTAGGATAAACCTGTTCAATGGGATGATTTCACTGAAGACCGGGGTAGAAATTAGCCGATCTGTGGACCAGTATGCTTTTATATTATGCTTATAGACATGAGGCATAAGCGTTATTGTTGCAAAAAGCAAATACATTTCTGCAACAGTCGTCTCTTTCCACCTGTGTAGTCTTGACTGTGGTGATAAGATCGTATTTGCCATGGTGTACTCAAAATACTTATTAGTTTCCATCAATGGCTGGTCAAAGAATTCCAGTTCATTGGCCGTGGTTCCAAGGGGACAAGTAGGTAGAATTCCACTTTGAGAGTCGTCAAAGTGGTGGGGCTTGGGAACAAAATTGGGATTTTGCTGCCAATCCCAGATACGGTTTGCTGGTGGATACTGGACATCATAGGGTGGTTGTGGTGGGCTGGTGGCTGACGCTCCGCTTTGTCCTTGAACTGACGAGTCAGCAGCGTGGGTCCCAGCCTGGGCTGGTGGGTCACGCATGGCGGTGCCACTACCATCACCACTACCACCATCTACTGATGCCTGTGGTCTATCCATGCTGAGTGTAGCCACATCATCCTCACTATCACTATCTAAACCTGGTGTAGGGCCACGGGATGTACTCCATACCCTGGGCACAGCATAGGGTACACTACCCGAGCGCACGCAGCAGCGAACATACCGACGCTTCACTGGTGAATATGATTCCTCACTATCACTAATCGAATGATCGTCAAGCGCAATAAAATCACAATCCACGTCACTATCATCATCATTACTGAAGTCAGAGGCCTGGCCACGCAAAAATATTAGTTTTCTCTTGCGTTGAGGCACAACCGACCGTGAGTCACGAGTGCCCACACCAGAGGTAGAAGGTTGAGGATCGTCAGGGTTTTCTGCACTATTATCGATATCCTGGCCATTCCTTTCGGTCACTAACTGATCAAAGCCATAGAATTTGTCTTCATTTCCACTTCCATCAGTGTCAGAACTTCAGGAAGAGGAGAGTCCCAATTTTCCGGGGAGTGAGAGCTGACTTGCGACGAGGCATGGTGAACAAGGGTAACTGAGCCGGCGTTCCCACAATGCTATGCGGGCGCCTAGATTTTTTTGTTCATGGCGCACACCCACCACGCAGACCCGTTCTCTCACATGTAGGCCTATGAGCGCTTTCGTGCTAAATTTGACGGCGCTAGAATTTTGGTGTAGATCTACGGTTTGGACACTCAACGTGAAGCCGTAGATCTACGGGACGGACCCTGAAAGGGTTAATAAACACGAAGAAAATCTTTCAAGATACTGTTCACAAAGTATCCCACACCAGCATGGAGCCTGAACCTAGACTAGCACAGAGAGCTTTAGCAAGTTCAGAGGTGTGCCACCAGACCGGTTCTGGAACTGAGGGATACAAGCTGTGAGGAAAATCCAATGGAACTGAACCTCATAGCTACTGAACGTGTAGGATGGGGAAAGCATGATCATGAAACAAGATATTCAAGGACAGATTGTAGGTCAAAAGGGCATAGATGAAAGATGAACATCCAGACGAGTCATGGGAACATTAGGAAATAAACAAACAAAAAAAAACCTGTTTACTTCTACCCTTGTAATTAATCAAAAGAAGTCAAAGAAGGAAACGACTTTTTCTGCTTCGTCACTCTGCCTTAGTGGGAAATGACTGACAAGTTGAAAATCAGACTACCTTTACTAAAAAGGTACTCTGATTGTGTAAAGAGATTTTACTATAAACAGGAAATAGTATAATAATGAAGCTAAAGAAATAGGATGCTGGAAAAGCAAGAATCTAGAATTGAAAAAGGAAGGACAAGCCATATAAGGTTGTGACAGGACTGGAGTGCTGTACTTTCAGAAAGTATGTTGAGACAGGCTAGCCTTACTTTATAATAAAATAAATAAAGTTATGCTGCATTTACCAAACGCATACTGATCACAGTGATTGAAAACTTTCCTTAAGGTACAAAAATAAGCAAAAACGTGGATAAAATTCCATTTTTACTATAATTTTTCTTTCATTAGTAATTTCTCACTAAGGCACTGTGAAACAAAAAAGAAAAATGTGTGTGTATTTGACAATAATAAGCAGAAGTCATTTCTCACCAAATTCTTCACATTACAACCCCAGAGTTTCTGAAGTGCCTGAAATTTGGTGTCCAAGTTTGTAGATGTCTTGAGGTCTTTGTCAGTGCTACTGGAAGTCTTCACCTGTAACACAAATTTTTTTTTATACAACCTCAGGACAAACTTGCTTACTGGATTTTATACCAAAAACAAAACATGTACAGTACTTCTACTTTCTCATTTACACATACCTACCAAGTACAGTCATCATTCTTTTTTTCACTCTCTAACTCAGTGCAAGCTAGCAGCAGCAGCTTCTTCACTTGTACATTTGCTAAAACATAACGAGGAATTTTTTTGAAAAATATTTCAGATGCTCCTTAAATAATTTTGTGCGTGCTTTAAGGTATAAGAGATACTGTGGTTAGATTCTATGTGTGATCACCTCTTGAAGAATTGAGAGTTCCTCCAAGGAAGCACACCATCATAGCTACAGATTTTCTGACTACTTTAGTGTGTTTGGTATTAAGGTGTGTGTAGATGTATTCATCTTCAAGGAAGACAGTGCTCGAGATCCTATATATATGACCTTAAGAGAATCTTATGGTGACACCTTCCTCTGTCCTTGCATCATGGTGTAACAGCAAGTGTAATAGGTCATTATTTGTGGGCCAACATTCCATCCAACACAATCAGGAATTTAATTACCAAGAAAACCCCCACAAAGAAAGTAACACTGGTATCTATACCTTCCCACATGGGGGTGCAACAACTCCATGTGGGAGAGACTTAGATGCTTGGGGTAACACCAGGGAACACAAGTACAGTAGGGCCCCACTTATACGACGGGTTAGGTTCCAGGCTGTCGCCGGAAAACAGAACGCCATTTTTTTTCCATTTATAAATGCCAGACAACAAGTTTACACTAAATTATATTAAGTTAGTAATAGAACTAGGCATTAAAAACACACAAGGTAAAATACATTCACAGTATATTCATTGCTTATCTTAAAGTGTTTGTAAGCTTAATGTAGGGAGAGAGGTGAGCAGTACTTACAGGAAGTCAGGTGCAGGTAGCCCAGGTGTAGGTAGCCCTGCCTCCCCGTCTCATACTTAATATTCGATATTTAAAACATCCCAGAGTTAAAATACACATACAGTACACAAATTATTTACCTTAAAATATGTGTAGTCTTAATATAGGAAGAGAGGTGAGTAGTATTTATTTGTAGGAAGTCAGTGTAGGTAGCCGGTAGGTGTAGCCTGCCTGGGCTACACCTACCAGCTACCTACACTGTGGCCCAAAGCCATATTAACATCGACATACCTTGTTCACTGAATTTAATCATTTCTAACAACTACCTTTAGATGCCATCATAAACGAAGGGAGAAGTAATGAATAATTCATGCCGAAAATTGTAAACAAAAGCGGAGTGGCTGGGCCAAATGCAGATTCATACATGTTTTCTCTGATGGCTGAGCAGAGAAAATGTAATGTTGTCCCTCTGCACGGCTACCACACAGGACCACAAGTATTATCAGAGCACATATAAAATATGCAATAAATGCCAGACAACAAGTTTACACTAACTTCTATTAAGTTAGCAATAGAAATAGGCATTAAAAACACAATAAAAGGTAAGCTACACATAGAGTACACTTATTACTTACCTTAAAATATTAATATTAATGTGTGAGAGGAAAGTGGCAGGGTGTTTATTGAATAAAATCAGAATGGCACACCATCATCCTCTAACTTGGCACTTAAAGCAAGTCTTATGACTCCTCTTTTTATCACAGCTAAGCTTAGACGCCATCGTCAATGAGAGCCAACTAGTTAACGGGAGAGAGAATGAGATACAGAGTTGAGACAATGTAAGAATACAAACTGAACAGGTAGTGGGTGATCACTTGGTCAGGCAAAATAAATGCGTTTTAATATGTGTGTACTTTTAGTTCATTCACGTACGTTTGTAACACATTTACCTCAATATTTTTTTATTATAATAATTACCTCACAATACAAATACTCTTACATTGTGTACAAGTTAGTACAGAATAAACAAACAGCAACACACCATTTTTAGAGTGAATGAAGATATTATTACTATTAATATTATCATAATAAAAAGCACTAAACCCACAAGGGTCATGAATTACTATATATAGAGTGAAGGCATACGAAAAGAATATTTTTCTACAGTTATCCCCCAGTTTGACTAGAGAAAACGTAATTCTTCCGACACTACCCCCACAGCTGCTTCATAAACAAATCTCATATTTAAGTCAATTTTTATTCTGTGAGTGTATGTATCATGTTTATATGCTATGTAATGGGTTTCATATATAATTTTGAGGAAAATATCATAGATGGATTAATGAAAATGCCTATATTAATGTAAAATAAGACAGTGTTCCCAAGAGTGATTATTATTACATAGTATTGGCGTCATGAGTAGAGGGACTCTTAGCGATTTTAATGTGTACCAGCACAGTGTGTAAGTATATTTAGGTACAGGTACACATAAAATATGCAGTAACTTTAAAACACTTGAAATTTTGGAAAGTTTCCTGACATAATAGATGTGGTCACGGAGAATGTAAAGAAACTGGGTGGGGCTCACCGTATTTGAAAGACCGCTTGCCGTATAGCAAATTTTGGTCATAATTTGACATCGCTGTATTAATGGAACGCCATAAAGCGGGGCCCTACTGTATACAAAATGAAGACTTACACATACATGAAGAGACAGTATCAACTTTAATGCTAGGGTCTTGCAGTGCAGATAAAACACGATTCCAGGAATAAAACAACGCCTGAACCAGTCGACAAATAATTCCTCTGTCATCCATGTTGACTGGTTTGACTGCCAAATAACAGGCAAAGTGGTTTTGTTTTTTTTTATTTTAAGGCACAGGGATTCTTTGAACAATAAATAAGCATGGGTCAGCATTTAGGCACCTATTGAATTAGCGCACAGCAGCAAATGAAAGAGGCCCGAGATGCGTTGGAGAGAAACTGGCCTGCCTGTGCGGTGGTGAAGACTGGCCATGTTGGAGTACAAGATGGAAATGGGTAGAACCACCACAAAAGCCGGCGATCATCGGAGCAAAAGGTGGTAACAGATACAAACAATGAATTGCAAACAGACAGAAAGACTGTACCTGGAGATGCGAAAGGTGGTCTACTTAACATCATAACAATATATTTAATGGCTGCAATATATTACTGTATGATCCAAGAATAATGATAATAATAATAATGTAAAGTAAAAGGGCACAAGTGCAACTAATGTGACATTTTATTGTGGCAACGTTTCGCTCTCCAGGAGCTTTATCAAGCCATTACAAACAATACATGGACACAGAGGGTATATATAGGCTCTGAGTGAGGTGCAGCACTAGTGGTAGTAGTAGTAGTGACAAAAGTTGAAGTAGTAGTAGTAATACAATATGGTAGAGCAATTAATTCGTACATGAGTAAAAGGATATAAAAGCTATTACTTGGGAATCATAAAAATAGGTTGGACAAATATAGACTGGATAGAGGCAGCCTGTTTCAGTGTTCACACTCTGTAATGTGCTTTGTGTAGTATAACAGGAGAGACTGTGATGGCAGGGTTTACTGTTTTCAGGAGGATTCTTGTTAAGACTTCAGAGATAATGAAGCTGCCGTTGTTTTGTTTAATTGTATTCGAAACAGCGATCAGTGCTGATTCGAGGCACTTGCGTTTGCGGAAATTAGTTTCTTTGATCACTAATTGGGCGTCTAACCAGGACAAAATCAAAGCACCACGAACCAGTCAATGCAGGAGTTTACACTATATCCTGTGGAGGCTGTGACAAGATTTACGTAGGTGAAACAGCAAGAAACCTCGACACCCGCCTCAATGAACACATTTACGCATGTAGGAACAATAACTTGAACAACGCCTGTGTACAACACCGAAATTCCACCAATCATCTCATGAAATTCAGAGACGCCCAATTAGTGATCAAAGAAACTAATTTCCGCAGACGCAAGTGCCTCGAATCAGCATTGATCGCCGTTTCGAATACAATTAAACAAAACAACGGTAGCTTCATCATCTCTGAAGTCTTAGCAAGAATCCTCCTGAAAACAGTAAACCCTGCCATCACATAGTCTCTCCTGTTATACTACACAAAGCACATTACAGAGAGTGAACACTGAAACAGGCTGCCTCTATCCAGTCTATATTTGTCCAACCTATTTTTATGTTACCCAAGTAATAGCTTTTGTATCCTTTTACTCATGTACGAACTAATTGCTCTACCATATTGTATTACTACTACTACTACCACTAGTGTTGCACCTCACTCTGGGCCTATATATACCCTCTGTGTCCATGTATTGTTTGTAATGGCTTGATAAAGCTCCTGGAGAGCGAAACGTTGCCACAATAAAATGTCACATTAGTTGCACTTGTGTCCTTTTACTTTACATATTGTCGGTAATTCTACCAACTTTATTACGATAATAATAATATAACTAGGTAATTCATGTTTAAGAATGATAGAAGCTATCTGCAAAATGTCCTTCAGTAAAAGTATTGCATAATCAAATCACACAGTTTATGAAGTAAGCAAATTCCAGAATTCAATTATATATGTATACCTCCACTTTTGTAACCTTAAATGCTTAAAATAGTGGCTACTTACACCCACCTCCAAAGGTCGGTAGTCAGCACGTGTCTCCATAGAGAGAAAAGCATATTTCTTGTCTGCATTTTTATCAGAGGATGACTCAGTTGGCCGCAGAGGAAGAGGGCGATGTGTCTTAATTGTCATACCTACAAAAACACAGAATACAACATACAGTATACTAAAAATACAATAATCCACATGTAACTTTAAGAGTCATCCTTATTCTACAAAATTATGGAAAACTGATAAAAGACAATGAATAGATAAGGAAATCCCTCTCAATGAGTAGATATGTGATTTTGTAGAAAATGACTTCTAGCCAGATTTTTAACATGATGCAGGAATAGACAGTTAGTTTGTTAATCGTATCGGAAAATGATTATGCAGATGAAGATTATTAGATTCATGGGGGCAGTCCTAAACCCCCTAATGAGTCATACAGTGCCTGAGAAAGGGGGGGGGGGAATCAAATTTGAGCCAAGAAAGGAGAGGGTAGCTCTATTTCCTTTGATCAAGAGCCTTTCAACATCAAGATAAACCCCTTGAGGGGCACATGGAGAACACTGGAAAGAGCACTCCTTTAGTATGAACAAAATGTATTGGAACTGGTAATATTTATTATATTAGGTTAGTGCACTTGATATTAATGGTTGCTAATGTGCTTAAAATATTATTTGTCGAGAACATGTTCAAAATTCAGAAGCTAGTGGCATACATTTTAATGTCAGTTCCCAAGCAAGTCTTCCATATGACATTGCAAACAAATTTTTTAGCCAATTTTTAACCCTTCCAGGATCAAGAGGACCTCTCCTAAACTTGTTCTCAGGATCGAAAATTTTTCGAAAAAAAAAAAAATTACTTTTTCTCATGAAAAGATAGAGAATCTTTTCCCAGTCATAATGACACCAAAAGTATGAAATTTGATGGAAAACTTACGGAATTATGCTCTTGTGAAGTTAGCAGTCTCAATGATGTTTACACATCGGTGATTTCACCCACTTTGAGCCCTATTTTCAGCCAATTCCAATGCACCAGTCGACAAAAAATCATAGCTATTTCATTAGAACTCCATTTGGTCTATCAAATGAGTACAAGAAACCAGCCAATTACCGATTTCAACTATCCAATAAAGTGGTCAGAAATTGGCAATTTTGCCAATTTCACACAAATTTCAAAAGATGCCAATTTCAAAATAGGGTCCAGAATAAATAAGACAGACATTCCTGGCACTAAAATGACATTTTCTCTGTTCATTAGTCACGTCCCCAAGCCCCTCTTACACTTCTTTTGCTTTCCACTTTGACCTTTTATTCTCACAAAAAAATAGAAGATTTACTGTTATGCAGACTACTGCATTAGTGTAAAAATGGTATAAATAATATCATCGCACTTGTGAAAGAATATTAGACTCGCCAGGTGATGTGTATTGGATGCCAGGCATGATTTGTTTACTTTTGAACTTTGGCAAAAATCAAACATTTCTGCTAATTTGAGCTCAATTTCCACGTATTTTTCATTGTGAAACCAATCAAAATCACCTCAGTTTCTGTAATATGTCTTCATTCTATAAAATGACACCAAGAAAATGAGAATACAACCACAATTACAGTGGACCCCCGCATAACGATGGCATCACATAGCGATTAATCCGCATACCGCTTGCTTTAATCGCAAAAATTTTGCCGCGCATACCGATTAAAAACCCGCTCACCGATTTTCGTCCGAGACGCGTCCAATGTGCGCCCTCAGCCAGCCTCACATGTGCCACCCGTGCCATTGTTTACCAGCCAGCCTCCGCGGTAACATCCAAGCATACAATCGGAATATTTCGTATTATTACAGTGTTTTCGGTGCTGTTTCTGGAAAATAAGTGACCATGGGCCCCAAGAAAGCTTCTAGTGCCAACCGTACACCAATAAGGTGAGAATTCCAATAGAAATGAAGAAAGAGATCATTGATAAGTATGAAAGTGGAGTGCGTATCGCCGACCTGGTCAGGTTGTACAAGAAACCCCAATCAACCATCGCTACTATTGTGGGCACCAGAAAGGCAATCAAGGAAGCTGTTCTTGCCAAAGGTTTAACTGTGTTTTCGAAACAAGATCGCAAGTGATGGAAGATGTTGAGAGACTCTTATTGGTGTGGATAAATGAAAAACAGCTAGCAGGAGATAGCGTCTCTCAAGCGATCATATGTGAAAAGGCTAGGAAGTTGCATGAGGATTTAATTAAAAAAATGCCTGCAACTAGTGATGATGTGAGTGAATTTAAGGCCAGCAAAGGTTGGTTTGAGAGATTTAAGAAGCGTAGTGGCATTCATAGTGTGATAAGGCATGGTGAGGCTGCCAGTTCGGACCACAAAGCGGCTGAAAAATATGTGCATGAATTCAAGGAGTACATAGACAGTGAAGGACTGAAACCTGAACAAGTGATTAATTGTGATGAAACATGCCTGTTTTGGAAGAAAATGCCAAGCAGGACCTACATTACTCAGGAGGAAAAGGCACTCCCAGGACATAAGCCTATGAAAGACAGGCTTACTTTGTTGATGTGTGCCAATGCTAGTGGTGATTGCAAAGTTAAGCCTTTATTAGTGTATCACTCTGAAACTCCCAGAGCGTTCAGGCAAAAGAATGTCCTCAAGGATAATTTGTGTGTGCTGTGGAGGGCAAACAGTAAGGCATGGGTCACTAGGGACTTTTTCTATAACTGGTTACACCATGCATTTGCCCCCAATGTGAAAGATTACCTAACTGAAAAGAAATTAGAACTTAAGTGCCTCCTGGTGTTAGACAATGCCCATGGTCATCCTACAGACGTGGCAGAGCGACTTTATGGGACATGAGCTTCATTAAGGTGAAGTTTTTGCCTCCTAATACCACTCCTCTCCTGCAGCCCATGGACCAGCAGGTTATTGCAAACTTCAAAAAACTGTACACAAAAGCTCTGTTTGAAAGGTGCTTTGTAGTGACCTCAGAAACTCAACTGACTCTAAGAGAGTTTTGGAGAGAGCACTTTAATATCCTCAATTGTGTAAACCTTATAGGTAAGGCTTGGGAGGGAGTGACTAAGAAGACCTTGAACTCTGCTTGGAAGAAACTGTGGCCAGAATGTGTAGACAAAAGGGATTTTGAAGGGTTTGAGGCTAACCCTGAGAGGATTATGCCACTTGAGGAATCCATTGTGGCATTGGGAAAGTCCTTGGGGTTGGAGGTTAGTGGGGAGGATGTGGAAGAGTTGGTGGAGGAGGACAATGAAGAACTAACCACTGATGAGCTGATAGATCAACTTCAAGAGCAAGAGGCCAGACCTGAGGAAACTGGTTCAGAGGAGGGGAGAGAAGAAATTGAAGAAGTTGCCTACTACAAAGATTAAAGAAATCTGTGCAAAGTGGCTTGAAGTGCAAACCTTCATGGATGAAAATCACCCTCACACAGCTATTGCAAGCCGTGTTGGCAACCTGTACACTGACAATGTTGTGAAACACTTTAGGGATGTCATAAAGGAACGAGAGGTACAGGCCACTATGGACAGATATGTTGTGCGAAAGAAGTCCAGTGACTCTGAAGCTGGTCCTAGTGGCATTAAAAGAAGAAGGGAAGTAACCCCAGAAAAGGACTCGACACCTCAAGTCTTAATGGAAGGGGATTCCCCTTCTAAACACTAACACTCTCTCTCCCCTCCTCCCATCCCATCAATCATCACCAGATCTTCAATAAAAGTAAGTGTCATGTAAGTGTGCATGCCTTTTTCAGTTTGTGTGTATTAAAATTAACATTTCATGTGGTAAAAAATTTTTTTTTTCATACTTTTGGGTGTCTTGCACGGATTAATTTTATTTCCATTATTTCTTATGGGGAAAATTCATTCACATACCGATTATTTCGCATAACAATTACCCCTCTTGCACGGATTAAAATCGTTATGCGGGGGTCCACTGTACATACGAAAATACACTGCAAAATCACTGTTTTAACCCTTAAACGGTCCAAACGTATATCATGCGCGTAGCGCCCCAAACGTATAAATACGTTTTCTTTGTCATTCATTCAACATTGCCACGATAAGCCTGAGTCACCTAGACATGAGAGAATGGGTGTGCGCACTCACTGTGCACCATATTAAAATAATTGGGGATGTCTGGGTACCATATGCTCTTTTTTCCTATTAAAAAAAATCTTTTTTGGGGGCGCTACGCGAGTGAACGTATATATACATTTGGACCATTTAAGGGTTAAACAAAAACCACGGTCAGAATTTTTTTTTTCTCATTATGCACTATGTGTTGCAGGATTTTTTTTATACTGTGCACACTGACCATGCAGACCCATTTTTTCATATATAGGCCTACCAGCTTTCTTTTGCTAGATTTGAAGGTGCTAGAATTTACGTGTACTAATACGGCACCAACCCTGGTGTGCAAGCCGTACTAGTACGACACCGACCCTGAAAGGGTTAAAGTGGGGGCTTCAGGTATGGGTGGATTAACATATAAGGGCAAAACAGGCAGTTACCCCAGCCTCCCCAGATGAAGGGGAGCCTCAAACATCCATTGTATGTAAAAATATATTATTGCAGTAGAACCCCCCATATCCACTGATTCGGTGTATGTGGTTTCAGTATCCACGGTTTACTGTGACCCAAAAATACCTCTTAATTTTGCATAGTAATGGCCCCAAAGTGCAAAAGTAGAAAAGCTGGCAGTTCTTCAAAACCTAAGAGAAGCCATGAAGTGTTTCCCATCAGTGAAAAAGTGATAATTCTCCACTTGTTGTGCATAATTTATCAATTAAACTTTATAATAGGTTATGTATAGGACTTACATGTAGGGTTTGCTACTATCCATGGTTTCTGTATCCATAGCAGGTTCTTGGAATGTATCCTCTGTGGATATGGGGGTCCTACCATACTTTCTTTTTATTAACATCGGCCATTTCCCACCAAGGCAAAGTGACCCGAGAAAGAAGAAACACTTTCATTATCATTCACTCAATCTTTTGTCAGAAGCGTGCCTACACTAGAGTTAAAAATCTGCAACATCAACACCCCTCCTTCAGAGTGCAGGCATTGTACTTCCCACCTCCAGGACTCAAGTCCGGCTTGCCAATTTCCCTGAATCCCATCAAAATGGTATACAATACCGACAGG